CTACCGTACTTAGTGATAATTGTCCGCGCGCAGGCTCGCACAGGATTATCCGCGCGCAGGTTCGCACGGTGCAGAATTGTCCGCGCGCAGGCTCGCACGGTGCAGAATTGTCCGCGCGCAGGTTCGCACGGTGAAGAATTGTCCGCGCGCAGGCTCACACGGTGATCTATAGAATACCGTTTGTTTCAAAATGGCGTAACCGCTTTTTCGCGACCTGACGGCGTTTTCTCCGCGTAAAATCTTTCCGCCCGCGTTAAAAAGCCTCCGCTCCCGCGTAACAATTATCTGCGCGCTAAAATCTCGCGAGGATGTCGCGCGGTCGGTAAATCTTCGCGGGCGGAAAGATTTTACGCGGTTTTTTAACGCGGGAGGAAAGATTTTACGCGGAGAAAACGCCGTCAGGTCGCGAAAAAGCGGTTACGCCATTTTTAAACAAACGGTATTCCATAGTGATCCGCGCGCAGGCTCGCACGGTACAGAATTGTCCGCGCGCAGGCTCGCACGGTGCAGAATTGTCCGCGCGCAGGCTCGCACGGTGAAGAATTGTCCCGCGCAGGCTCACACGGTGATCCGCGCGCAGGCTCGCACGGTGCAGAATTGTTTGCGCGCAGGCTCTGACGGTACAGAATTGTCCGCGCGCAGGTTCGCACGGTGCAGAATTGTCCGCGCGCAGGCTCGCACGGTGAAGAATTGTCCCGCGCAGGCTCACACGGTGATCCGCGCGCAGGCTCGCACGGTACAGAATTGTCCGCGCGCAGGCTCGCACGGTGCAGAATTGTTTGCGCGCAGGCTCTGACGGTGCAGAATTATCCGCGTGCAGAGGCTCGCACAGTGAAGAATTGTCGCATGCAGGCTTGCACGGTGCCGAATAGGGCTCGCATGGTGAAAAATTGTCTGCGCACATGTTTATCTCTCCTAGTTTTTGTCATCTCATTACGTTACTCCACTTATTATCTTTCTTTGTATTTTCTAATCTTCTCCCCTATCTAGCGCCAAATTTTCCCTCTTCAAACTGTCATCTTTCCCTCATTTCAATTTCCCCCTAGAACTGCCATACTTGTTGCTGGGCCCTCTCTCTCATGCCAGCCTCCAGACTGGGGTCCATGATAAACTCATCAGCTGCCAATTGCAGGGGAAGAGGTAGCTGCACGTTTCGCTGGACCAGCTGCAGGAAAGTCCGTCGTAGCCTCCCAACCTCTTTCCTCACACTGTTTTTCTTCATCTCTGCCTGCTTTAGTTGGCGGTCGTGCTCAGCCTTTTGTTTGGCATCCTCAATACTGCGAAAAGAACCAACACAATAGACCATATCCCACACAAAGGTCAGTGTATACCTGTAGTGATTGGGGTCTTCTATGTCTCTGGCTGGTTTGGTTGGCGACTGAACCTGAAAAGAGTTTAATTTCTGCTTGCTTTTAGTAACCTTTAGCCCTTATAGAGGGATTGTGTGATGGGGTTGGGGGTGTCAGCGTGCTCAAATGTGTTCATTAACCATGCTTCATGTATCCCATCCCTATCTCCCTTTCTTTCTTACCATCCCTATATGCCTGGATTTACTTGTAAGTAATAGCTATCTCTTTCAGCCCTGGTGGTTTTCAGGGGTATTGGTTCAGTTTGAAAAAATTTTGCTGTACCTCAAGAGAGGGTGTTGTAGCAGTGGGTGTGGTCTCAGCTGGGAGATGGGTGGAGAAGACGAAGATGTTACCGTCAGCTCCTCCACTGATGACGTAACGACCGTCGCATGTGGTGGAGAGATGAGTAACTGCTCCGTTGTGGTTGTCATGGACACCGAGAGCCCAGTAGGACCCCAGAGAGGATGAGGAGGAGGAGAGAGGGGCAGTGAGACGGTTGATCCTCACCACACCATTACTAGAGCCAGTCAACAGGTAGCGTCCTGAGGAACTGCACACGGACACAAAGGCTGTCTCTTCTAACTCTTTTGCACCAGACGTGAGGCTCACCTCAGACACATGGAGTGTAGGGGGAGGTCCCTCCCATCATAGGCTGGAATGGGAATGGTGTTTTGGGCTTCATAAAGCTGGGGTTCTGATTTTGCCCCCTCCATTGAACATTGGTAGAGGTACCCAGCATCATAGCCCCCCATCGACACCCAGAATCCTCTCTCCCCCGCAGGCAGAGTTGACAAAATTGGACTTGGGCCTTGTGGTTTCTCTTCCTCTTCCTCCTCCACCTCCGCCTCCTCTCCTCCCTCCCCCTCTTCGTCTACCTCTTCCTCTTCAGAGACATAGTCGTCTCCCATCTGTTCCTTCCGTCGCTGCTTGGCCGCCTCTTTCTCTCTCCTCTTCTTCTCCCTCTCTGCCACTTGCCGAGCCTCCTCCTCCTCTGCCTGAAACCACACCCTCTCAATAATGATAATGAGTCCAGTAACGAGAGGGGCTTACCCTCAGCCTGTCTTTGATGGAGGTAAAGGTTCTGACGAGGCAGGGGAGAGGCTGAAGGTAGAAGGATTTGCTGGTGTCATAGTCTCCATCCAGAGGAGACCCCGTCTCTACCATACTACCGTCTTCACAGCAGGCCACCAGCTTACCACCTCCCTATGTATACCGAGAGGGGGAAGGGATGATAGATGGTGTTTCTGTAGTACTCGACCAGAAGGTAATACGTGGTATATTATCTGCCATGCAGAACAACGCAGACTGATAATCCACTACTGAGGGGTGCAAATGAGATGATCAATCTAAGCCCATCTTTTTGAGGCGCACAAAATTTTCACAAATTGGCAGTATTTATTGGAAAAATATGTGCTGACCTCTCTATTTGCGGACCAATGAAGTGAAGTGACAGGTGATGGAGTCCTAATGAAGCCAATTGGACTGTACTTCTCCGATATGTGCAGGAAGAACACCGTGCAGTCGGCACTCTAAGAGAGAGAGAGAGAGTTTAGTGTCTTGCCTCCTCAAACCACCCCATGCATGCTCACCCCGGTCGCGAGAATTTCTCCATGAGGATGGACAGCTAGACAGGTGATGGGCTGGGAGTGAGGTTTGCAGGCATGTTGGAGGGTCAGCTGGAACCCTCCCTCTCTCTTCTTGCTCTGCTCGACGTGCAGCACTCTGTGTGTGTGCAGCAGTTTGGGAGAGAACTTCCCTATTATTCGTGGGCAGTGAATTCCACGTAGTAAACTAGACTAGTGTTTCACTATTATGTGAAAATCCTCTCCCTTGACTCGACGAGTGAACGCGAGAGTTACTGGCGCAGCAGCAGCGATTGCGAAATTTCAGTTACGTGCATGCAGAGTCACATAGGACATTACTGTAAGGGTGGCTATGTTGGATATTGTATACACACCAAGATAGGCTCTTTTCGCTCACCAAATTATCAACAGACAACCTAAGATTATGTGTACATACCTCAGAATGCCGTCTCTGAAACCAGCTAAGATGGTAGTGGAGGGAGTCTCGACAGTGGGCGGGGCCCAAATGAGGCTGGCCCCGCCCCCTGAAAATGGAGTGTGGCACAGTAGCTCCTTGGAGTCCAGATCATAAACCCTAACGGAGCCTGTGGGAATAAACTGATGTAACTGTAGTAGTGTAGGGTGTTGGTGCAGACCGTTGTGTCCGATGGAAGCAGCTTGGTGGCCAGAAGGAGAGGTGTCCAGACCTCTGACTGGCCCACTGTGGTAGCTGGCCAGCTTCTCCGGAGACTGTCTCTGTGGAGAAGATGGGAAGGTCTTTGTGGCCGTGTGATGCAGATATGCTCAAAGATTGTACGCAGAAAAACGGCCGATATGATTGTATTGAGAGGGAGGGGAGGGAGAAAAGAGACTGACAGTGTGTGAAGAGGTGATGTCAACTCTCCAGATGGCACCAGCTGCATCCTGGGCATACCAGAGAGTGGGTGTGTCTGGGTCCGCACTCCGTGCCAGCGTCTTTAGACTCACATCATGACCCACCTGGCAGGGGGGGTGAGGGAAGTGAGGGAGTGAGGGGGTGTGAGGACTTACTCTGATCTCAGTCAGAGGGTCCATCTCAAACGCTGCATTCTCATCAGTGATATCGGCATTGTCGATGGTCTCAAAGTCCCAAACCTGAGCAGCCAACAGCCTATGAGCCACCAGTTGCTCTAATGAGAGGGTCTTACCCTAATGTAGCCATCAGCTCCAGCAGAGATGAGCTCTCCATCATCCAGGAACAGAGCTTCTATCATACCCTGCAACAAGAAAGTTGACCACCCCAGTAGAGGTGGCGGGTATGGGTGAGAGGCCCACCTGGTGACAGAACTTCATGTTCTTGCGGGAGATCTCGACCTTGATGAACCCTCCATCCCACAGGAGAAGGTTCCCCCACTCGGTTCCCGATAGGACCTTCCCATCTGGCAGCTCCACATAGGCTGGGGGGGGGAAGACACCATCTCCAACTCTATCTCTATGGTGAGGACTCACCAGCAATGTCAGAGAGCTCGGTGCGACCAAACTTGCCCAGCTGGCCCTGCAGTTTCAGGCCTGTGAATGTGCTGGCCATCTTCCAGAACCTGTACCACGGGGAAACGATTGATACACTCACTTCAGAAGTTTCGACACCTCGGCACAAGCAGATTCACACTATTGCAAGCTGAAAGGCACCTCCGCACAAGTAAACGGTTATTACAGCTGAAAGACACACTTATTATGCTGGGGCAAGATTACCAAAAGTTTACTAGAAGATTACTAGCTGGAAGACATGTCGGGTGTATACCTAATGTGTCCAGTGCCAGAGGTGGTCAGCTGGCCAGGGTCCTCGGGAGAGAAACTGACTCGGAAGACATCCTGCGAAAAGGCCTTGTATCGGAGGACGATGCTCTCCTTCTTCCAGTCCCAGACAGTCAGCATGAAGTCAGGGTGGCCTCCGACAGACGCCAACAGATCCCCTTCTCCAGAGAAATCCATGTGACTGTACGCCTCCTCCGTCCCTCCTGCAACCACATTGCTTACTCTGACACAATTTGCCACAGAAACTAGGTATTTAGTGAGGATGAGTTAATGATTACTGCAACAAAAACTTCATATGTTCAAAGCGATGTCTTAGTGGGCAGTCTCACTATTATACTGCTATGTTCTGTGAGATTAAAAGTTAGCATCCATGTTTGTTCACAAAAAATGTCACATATATTTCAGTGATCATCATCAACCGCTAACAAAGAGATCCAACCTCTGAGGATTCTGTGGAGTCCCAGCTCAGGAAAGGTGAAGATGGCAATGACAGGCTGTGTCCCTTTCTCCCCAACTGCCAGGTAGTGTCTGGAGGGGTGGGCGGCGAGGGCTCCGATCCCTCCTCCCCCAAGGCTGCGGAGACAGTGTTGGTTCATGGAGGAGAGGTGCAGGAACTCCACCATGTTCCCTGCTGAGAAGGCTACCGTGGACTTGTCCAGAACAACCAGATTGCTTCTCTTCTGACACTCATAACCAAATGAGTGACTGGTCACTTTGTTAAGGACTTACACAACGCTGGTACAGAATATCTTTACTACGAGAAAAATGGTTGAGGATCCCTTTGCAACGGACAAGTAATCTGCACAAAGTTATGCGTCATCTGTAAGAGGATTATGACGGAGGGGGGATACTGTAGCTCAAGGTAGATGTTTTCTGATATGTTCACAACTTCAGGTCCAGACTTCAGCTCATCGTAGTTGTAGCTGATCTCCTTTTCTTCCTCTCCCCTCTCCTCCCCATGTGCCCCTCCATCTTTGGTCTCCCCAACACTAGTTGGTGCATTCACCTCCTGTCAAAATGGATCAAGACTTCTCCCTAATGTGAGCAATGGCTGGCCTGCTAACCTCTTCACCAGGACCCTCTGGCTCTCTAGCTGTCTCTCCAGCTTCATCTGTCCCCGCAGCCTTCTCCTCTCCTACCTCTACCTCTTCTTCCACCTCCCCTTTTGTAGTCTGGTGCCCAGTGTCATGCTCAACGTCAGTAGATCCTTCCCTTCCCTCTGCTGCAGCTGTCACTACCTCCTCCACCTCTGTCTGGTTCTCCTCCGACATGGCCGGCTATCACTAACTCTGCAAACAGACGGCTTCACCGCGATTCCACGTGCTCGTCGTCCCGCTCAGAAGTTAGGTTGCTAAGTACAGCGTTGCTAAGGTATTTTCGCTAAATTGGAAGTAACTAAGTAATTTTTAAAACCGCGACTCCATAAGCAAGCGCCTGGCTCGAAACGATCAAAAAGCGAGGTAACCAAGAGGCGAAGCCTTGAACGACATGGCGTGTGTGATGTACCCAGGAGGACAGCCGGGCCAAGTGGTCGAGACTCCGTATAGCGGCGAAGTAAGTTGAGTGAGCATTAGCTTCTCTCGAATCAGTAGCTACCTCTACACTCGTGTCTTTACAGACGCTGGTGCTTCGACTGAGTAAACCGAAGAGCGGGAAGAAGGTGCATTGGGGCGAGGATATCGTGGATAACGAGCACATGGGAAAGAAGAAGTCGAAATGTGAGCTAAACCACCACCACCACACCCGACTAGTAGAGGTATTGTGAGACGAACGTGTCCCCCTCTCAGGTTGCTGTATCTATGAGAAGCCTCGTGGACCTGATGACGGGTCGGATAGTGAATCAGACAGTGAAGACAAGGACTGCTGTCATGAACATCGTGTCGCACGTGCCAAAGTCCCTAGAAAGCAAGACTAGAACCTGCTCTACCAGCCTGTGTGTGTTCTGTGTCTATTTAACAGTCAACGTTTGTTGTGATGGCAGGGGATGGCAATTTCAAGTTAACTACCTTCACATGAGGGCAAAACAACACTAGTTGATTTGAAGTCCTAAGAATCAATTTCACTATTGGCCAGCAAGCAAATTGCCTTGACCAATCAGGATTCCCAAATACACGTAGTTGATAGTGTGAATATAATTGTCCCCTGCGACCTGATATTAGTTGTTGAGTTCACAGTTCAAAGTGCTCTATGACATCACACCATTACATCATACAGTGATACATATATACATTACTGGTCTGCCGGCTTGTTTGTTTTCCTGTGTCTCTTGGCAGCTGGCTCGCGCTCTGCCTTGCCTCTCTCTCGGTAGAACTCTCTCCTCAGCTCTCTCGTCTTCTTCTCTCTTTTGGCGTCTTCCCCTGCCATGGCTGTAGCTCGCCTCTGTTTGCTCTCCTTCGCCTTCTCCCTCCTCCTCCTCTCCTTGTCTCTCTGGAGAGTCGTCAGCTGCTGCAGCAGAGTCAGTGCCCTCTTCTCTTGGCGTTCCAGAACCACCGCACGCTTGCTGGACAAGCTCTGTCTCGTTCTCTTCTCCCTGTTTTTCGGTTTCGACTTGAACGGCAGCTGTTTCTGAAGGGCAGAGGGGACTCGAACAGGGTTGAATCTCCGCTGCTCTCTCTCGATCGGCCGGTAGAGGGAGTCTTTCCTCACTGGAGGGTTGGTCCCGACCTCGTGTCGTATCTGCCCCACCGTCCTCATGCCTCTCCAGCTGGTCTTGTCCCTCTCCAGCAGCGATGTCACCTGGTTACAGTAGCGAGGTACAGTCACGGGGTACCAGGTTCGCATGAACACAATGTCGCTCATAAGCACCCTGTCCTCGAATGTCGCCCGGAATGCTCCATCAGGCGAACGAAGGGCCTTCTTCAGTTGACCTCTGACCCCACTCACCGTCTGCAGAGCCGCTCCCTCGAACTTGGCACACTCGAGAGCCGAGCTGAACATACCTTTAATGAAGGCAGTGTTCTTGAATATCTTGTAGGGTGTTCCCGTCAGTTTCAGCTTCTTGACAATGTCGGAGGCTTTGTTCATCTCCAGCACTACGCCAGAGGCCGCGACACGGAAGTCAGCGTCGACGGAACTGACAGATTGGACTCCGAGGAAACCGGTACCCGGAGACGTCACTGGACCTGCAAATGAATAGGTTATAGAAGATAAGAGGAGTGCTGATTCAGAATGAAGTAACAACCAAGCCTTCAAACTGTCCACGAAATAGGTGGTGTGTACAGTGGTATAATACTAGGAATGCGCACGTGCATATTTTGCCTCGCGCCTGTCAGCCAATGCGTAAACAGTCCGATTGAGGCCGCTTGTGTGCGCGCTCTACTGACTGCGCACGAAGCCAGACTCCCTACGAATCTGCACGCACGGTGGAAGCTAGACTTCCTACGAATGACGGAAGTTCCACTTCCTTTTGGTAACTAATTGACATTCCTAAGCGTGACTAATTGACGACGTACGTACGCATATCGCGAGAATACAACCTGGAGTAGTTGCCTTGCGCTAATGCGCTCGGCAATGATATTCAGGCACTGCCACATACCGTACTGTTCTAACGCACGACAAATGGAGGAGGTAAAGTGCCTGTGGTCTCACCATAGAGACAGGCGACACAGTGCATGTGTTCAGGGGTGTACTTGAGCATCCTCTGCCTCATATTGTGCTCCTCCACGCAGTAGACAGGGGTCACCTGGACCCTCCTCCAACCCACAGACAAGATGAGAGGGTCTCGTGACTTGAGGACTCTGCGGTGCCAGCGGTGCTTCTTGAGTCTGACCTTCATGAACCCCAGCCTCTCCTCCCCGGCCAACAGCTCCCCCACCAACACTGGGTAGCGGGGGTCAAAGTTCTCCACAAACTCACACGAAACACCTGCAGACCAACCACCACAGTCATCTCTGAGAGTGCAACTGAGACAAACTGAAAGGGAAAGTCCCGCACTACTTCCAATGTATGGGCATGATGGTCCACGCAATGAAGAAAAGAGAAGCGTTGTCTATTGCGTGTAACTTGTTGTCATGCCAATACGTTGAAGTTGCATTAGACCTTTGTAAAGTTATGTACGTTGCCGTTGACTCAGTAGCCCTAGCAAGCTCTCTAACCTTTGATTTCCATCCGAACGTAGCTCCCCGGTCTCAGACCCTCGTACTGAACTCTGACCTCTTCCCTGAGCCCCGTAAACTCTGACCTGTTGGTCTCGGCCTGCTCCGTCGCCTCTTTCTTCAGGTCGTCATAGTAACCACCACCCTCGTCGTCGTCATATTGCACGTCAAACTCAGCCTACAAAAACATCATTGCAGAACATCCATCTGGTGATGCAATCGATGTTTGCGTCCGGCAGAAGTCTTACTCTATTTCTCACAAAAACAGTTGCACAAACCTTTTGCTCTTTCTTCTTCTTCAGCCGTTGGTCCTCCTCTCCCTCTTTGTCCTTGCCTTCTGTCGTCTCCTGTCCAAACCCTTCCCCCGTCTCCAGGTCCTCAAAGTCCCCAAACTCCTCCTCTTGGTCCTCTTGGAGGAGTGCCGCAGCGTCCCCCTCCCCCCAGCTCCCCGTCACAAACTGAGACCTCTTAACAGCGGCCACACAGACCATCCAGTCACGAGTCAGCTGCTGCGTCACCAGAGAGCTGTCCTCGCTGTGTAACTCTGACTGTCTCTCTCTCCTGGCCACGTGGAACAGTCCCCCCAACTCCTCCTCCTCCTCTTCCCCCTCCTTCCTCTCCTCCGTGTCGCCAGACGAAGGTGGGAGAGAATCACAGTAGATCAGTTTGTGCAAATATCGAGAGCTGTTGAGTCGTTGCTCAAACCCCTGTCTTGCCTTCTCCACCAACCCCTCCTTCCACCTCAGGTGACTAGGCAGCTGTGAACACGTCTCTCCTTCTGAGTCCTCACCTCCACTCTCTTTTTCTGATTCACCACTTTCACTGCCCTCACGATTAGCACCATCGTCACTACCCTCTTCGGCTGTTTCCTTGTCTTTTTCACCTTCTCTTTCTTCTCCCTCATCTTCACAACTGCTCTCCAGTTCCACACATCTTCTTCCACTGTATCCCATCTCCCTACACTGTCCCAGAACAAACCCTCCCTCCTCCTCCTCTTCCCCAGACTCCCCACTCCACTCCATCTCCTCTTCACTACTTTCCCCACTCCACACTTCCTCCGCCTCCCCGTCGAAGAAACAACGCCCACTTTCCCTTCTTTCGTCATCATCGTCTTTTTCCTCTTCGTCGTCCTCTGAGGCCACACCCCCTGACAACCTACCATCGGCTCCGTCACATGAAGTGACTCTCCCTCCCTCCCCCGACGACCCACAGCTGTCGGCAGAACTAAGACTCTGGCTCTCCTCCACCTCCCTAACCTCCTCCCCTCTCTTCATCCTCCTCGCGGTGTTCCTATTGCTCTGTGGTCTAGCTCTCTGTCTTGTACCAGCACTCAGCTTCCCTGAAGAGAGAAAGTGTAATATCACATGGAGCTGTTTCCCAGAGTAGGTTGGAACACATCATTCACACTGAGCATCCGTGGGTAATCGTATCATCATTCACACTGAGAACATATCACTGTCTTCCAACCTCCTCTGCTTGTTTTCTATAAAGACTCACCTAAATCTTCATCAGACGAGGTTTCAGTTTCAGAGTCACTCTGAGTGTCAACGTCTCCCTCTCCCCCACTCTGCGACCCTCCGTCCTCGTCCGGCACTGCTCTCCTCTGCCTCACACCCTCACCATCCTCACACCCTCCCAGCAGAGGTGCCCCACCCTCCATCAACACAAGCTCTGCATTCCTCATCTTCTGGTCCAGTGGATGGCGGGCACCAATTAGAGACGACAGCAGCCGACTCGTGGTTGTATCTTTTTCTTCATTGGCATGGCTACCAGCAAGCTCAATGTACACTGCGTCCTACACAAGGACAAGTCGTCGATTTAGAGAATTTTCTGGCCGTAACAACTTTCATGGAAAAGGCACGTGCAAAAACTTGGTGACAAGGAAGATCTCTTGGGACACACCAACAAAACACACATACACAGGTACCTTGTCATAGACCACTCCCCCGACACCAGCCATGGGAGCATATATCATCTTCTCCTTCTCGTTGAGTGACCTCTTTTTGTTCTGCTCCGGCAGGGGGCAGGGGTCAGGGAGGACGCTTGCTGATGACAGGGGGAAATCCCCACAGCCTGAGGTCACATGGCCCAATGGGTCAGTGGGTGGAGGCAGATATCGGGGAGGGAACTGACCTGGAATGTGGACCGTGGAATCTGGTCTGAGGTTTGTGCCTCGGACATAGCCGTAGAGCGAGATCATACGATCGCACTTTGACCTCTGTTGAATGGTGTCGGGATGGGTGAGGTCTTCCATTCTGTCGCAGAGAATATGGGCATGGCTTCCCTGCCAGTGCCGCGGCTTGAACTTCATGACTGATATAAACCGCCCGAGATTGTGAACTTCGACCTTTGGGTAGTGCCCGTGGATCAATCCAGAGAGGTAGAACAGCTTTGCTCCCTGAATAACAGTTAGACATCAAGTCCATAATATCCACAATTTTAACGTGCAACAATATCTCAAGAGCCCTACGCTCAGAGCTACAACAGTGCTGAGGAGTTTCAATTGCTAACTCATTTAGTACGCACATCAATCAAAGCACACTTGTTTTATGCTGGTTCTGCAGTGAAATGACGTCGCAGACACTTTGTAAATTCAACACACATCACACAGTATACATGTTTTTCACTGAAGTGTGTGTGTTGAATGGGAGGGCACACCTGGTATATCTCCGTCCAGAACCTGTTCTTGAGTCTCTTCTTGGTCTTCCTCAGAGTCTTCTGGGACTGGAACATATCCAGATGAGTCAGGACCCCCATCACCTTCGGAAACCCATGGACCTACCGCCGACAGCCAGCAGGCGGGAACAGGGGAAAGAGGTCAGAGTAAATGAGAGCAAAAGTAGTACTGAACGCGTAACATTCTAATGGAACAAATATCTCCTTAAAACCGGAATCCCACAGCACAATTTCCAGTGATAGTGTCTGTACAAAATTTAACTCTACTAAATTTTTGATTTGTGATAGTTCCATCACAAAGCACTCAGTACGGCATGGTACCTGTAGGATGTTGAGAAACTCAAACGTCTCCATCTCGAAGCCAAAGGAGGCGTCCACCAGTAGAAGGACAAGGTCGGCCACCTTTGCCACGTCCAGCATGGTGTTGAGGTCACTGCCACACTCCAGGAGAGTCAGTCGCCTCTTCTTCCCTGCACCCAGGAGTCCATGGCTAGAGACACCACTCATCTACTGGCTGCGAGTCCTCACCTGATACCACCGTGATGGGGCCTTTACTCTCAGTCAGAGTCTGCCTAGTGAAGTTCCTGACAAGGTCACGGATGAGGGTCGTCTTCCCGACCTTCGGGGGGCCCACCACTGCCACGCAGACCGGCGGGGGCTCCAGGGGAGTTCTGTCTACCTCGGGAACCCGCTGCCGCTTGGCTGCGATATCCAACTTTCTCCGTCCAGCTCGAGCGGCGCGCACTGCAGACTTGAAGGTGAAGGCCTTTGGATTTTTACCGCTGTCGTCATTCTCCCCCGTCTTCTTCCCTTTCTTCTTCCCTGCCTTTGGCCCCGACACCCGTTTGCGATGTGCTTTCGTCCTCTCTGTCACTTCCATGATTCTGCTCACACCACGTGTTGGGTGCGCTCCAATTAGAAATTTGGCGTGTGTCCCGCCCACTCGGCATGGACAGTAGATTGTCGTACGCACACAGGAGCGGGAGACGTCTGGACGAGCGAATTATCGACATAGAGTGGAGAAAAGACAAGTCAGTATACTCATCTTTCATTTAGACATAAAAAGGAGCGGTATAAATCCCATCACAGGCTCCCACAACTGGATATTGAGGTGCCGGCGTACGAGTTGCCCCTACCGGAGGGAGTGGGCCAGGAACAGCTGGAGGGAGAGACCCTGAGTGTGCGGGACATCGAGGAGATGTGGAAGGAGAAGCTGATTGACTCACAACCAGCCGCTGACCTGCCAGACCCGTTCACCTCATCCAACTAATCAATGGCGAGTGCATCAACCTCGGCCCAGCTGAGCCCTCGACTGGCGACATGGGTGGGAGACGAGGTGGTGAAAGACTTTGTGGAGGCAGAGCGACTCACTCGAGAAAGCTCCCAGGACCCTCCAGAAGAGCCGTATCGATCTCTGTATGCAGCTCGTCGCCTGCTGTCAGCTCTGAATGAGAATCTGAAGAGCTGTCCAGTGGAGGAAGAGAGTGATGAGGACGTTGCCGTCCTCCGTGCCTGCCTCCTGCTGAGCCTTGGTCTCAACTACCTCAACACTGAGGAGATGTCACGAGGAGAGGAGCTGATGGGGGAGTGCCTGCGGGGGGTGGAGGGACTGCCCGGCAAGGTGAAGACAGCCACTGTCTCAGTGGAGGCCTACAACCAGCTGGGGAT